ATGAAAGGCCAAAAAAAGGCATTTCTTTGAGATTTCTCTAAACATACATTAATTTTAAGCTGGAACCTAATTGGCACTCTTCTGTGTCGTCGCTGTAAACTTTCTACCTCATTGGTATTATTAAGCAAAGAGAAAAAAAAGGGAAATTTTGTTGAAAAGAATTTGGTAATTGGTTTAGCGCTTTATTATCTTTTTTATACCGATTAACAAATATTATCTACTCGGATGTTATTAGCTGCTGTTGGCTGACTTTCCACTGGATCCTGCATCGTCTTAAAAGCTAGAAATTTCGATTGTTGCGACCTCGGAACCTGACAAATGTGTCGCTTTAACAAATTATTTCGGATGCTCTTTGGAAGGCAAAACGACAAAAACTTTTGGCTTTATGATTTAAGGCTTGACTTTGTCAAAAAATTTGCTTCTTTGAAGGATAAGCAATGCTGAGTCAACCGTCGATGATTCTTAGATTTCAGACTGCAGTATTCAGCTGTAAACTGTAATAACTGATTTTAATGAATAATTTTTCGGCTTATGGATTCAGAAGACAAGTTTTTGACCTGGTTCAGCAATAATTAAGATATTGCTTTTAAAAAATTGTTGATTTTTGGGTGAACATCTTCAAGTGACTTTATGCTTAAAGTAGCTTCTTTAGCAAGTACATTTGATTACTTGTTCTTAAGTTATTTTTCGGGTATCTGCTTATCGGAACTACTAAAGCTAGAAATCACTTCACTTCTCATTCATAGAGAAAGAAAACAAATATACAGTTTTTTTTTCTTTGCAATTTACTGTACACTTCTTTTTTTGTAAGTGATCTAATTTTAGATACTTTTTTTCTTTAATCATTGTTGTCAGAATGTTGCTTGAATGAAGATAAGCATTTAAACAAAAAAAGAAAACTGAACAAATGTTGTAATTAACATTTTATAATAATATGTCAAGTATAGTTGAAAAATTTTGTATATTTGACCTTGACGAAAACAACGAAACAATAAACAACAAAAAAATTACTAGTTTAGCTACTGGATGAATGACGGAAGGCAGAAGGCAGAATTTAAAAATTTTAACCACTTTTTTCTTCGGTTTTATTACACCTTTTTATTTTCTTACTGTAGTTTGTCGAACGATGATCGTAGGTGGTGAAATTGTGTCTAACAATAAAACATCATTTTATCTTGTCATCGTGTCGTTATCGAATCATAAAATTGCTGTTGTAAAAAATTCACTGGCTCCTAGATGTCTGCGGGCTTTTTACACATGAAATTTTACCGATTATCTATGAAATTAATGAAGAACGAAAAAAAGTGGTCTAGATGAAAATCTACTCTTATCTACTACCGCTGGCTTTGACATCACCAGTATAGCGGTTTTGATTATAAGAACATTGAAAAAAAAAGGGAAGTTATGCATTGGAAAACAGTGTTTAATAGAATAAACACGTTGATTTCTTTACAATGTTTTTGTATCTTAGTTATTACCGGATTTTCTTTTTGATTTTGTTACAATAAATTCTGTTTTTACGCGTTTTTTAAAAGCTTTTTGTAACGTTAAAGCAGAAAAACGACATTTTAAAATAATATGAATAATATGAATAAAGACTTGAATAAAATTTCAATGACTCATATGCCTAAAAAATTATATGATTTATGTATGATTCATTTTGACAAAAAATAAATCGAACAAATCAGATAAGTTGAAGTTGGCTAGCAGTCGTTAGCATAGCAACTTCTGCTTCATTAGCATTCAACCGATGACTATAGTTTTTGAAAACTATTGGCAGTTGTTCTGCTTCTCTGTTCAAAAACTATTAGAGCGCTTACGCCTTTTTCAAGTCCTAAATACATAGAAAAAAATTCAGTGGAATTTTTTTACACTTTAATATCGCAAAATATTAATTAAAAACAATTTTTTAGTGAAAATAACCGTCAATTGTTTCTTAACTGTCTATATATTAGACAAATCCGTCAATTGTTTCTTAACCGTCTATATATTAGACAAAGTTGTTCTACACGTCTTTTCGATAGTTTAAAAATAGTTGTAAATGGTTATTGTGGAGTTATCTGACCTTGGCAGAGAAAGTTTCATGAGGCTTGTTGAGTTATCGTTTTTTGAATGCTGTAAAGAGGACCGAGTAGCAGTTTCAGTAACAATTCAGTGACGGCTTAAAAGTTGATCATTGCAATATGAAGCTATTTTTACGGGAGTATTTTTGAAAAAATCTAGAATTTTCAATGTTTTCTGAAACTCATCTTTCTGCTTTTTTTTCTTTGAAGAAATTGGTTTGAAAGCAAAGTGTAATTACAAGTCAGTTTCTTAAGCAGTGTTGCTGTGCAATATGAGCTTGAGTAAAAAGCTCTAGTGTAATTGTAGATTTTGAGTTTTGGCTATATACTTTAAATGCTATTGTGCCGGTAAAGACATTTCGGTAAATTAGCTTTTTTTTCTTTGAACAGTAGCGATTTACAAGGCACTGTTTAATCATGAAGAAGTAAAAGAATCTGCAGAATATTAATTGTTATCAAATGTCACTATTCTCAAACGAGATGACTCCTAGAACAAGGTGGTTCAGGTGATTTTACAAATTCAATGCAATGAATTCCAGAAATCGGCAGTCAAATGACGAGATAAGTTCAAGTTGGAAAAGATTAAAAGATCTGATTAATACAATGAATAATTTTATAATTTTTCCACATTTTTTTAAGCACTCGAATAGTACTACCGTAGACCAAAAATAGACAAAAAAAAAAAAAAAAAAAAAAAAAAAAAAA